CTCCATTCTCTGGAAAGGTACTAAGAGGCTTTAGCTTAACCTGAACCTAAAACTCGAAACTATAGGCTTTAGAAGACATACAGGTTACAAAGTTAGTCTAACCCTTTCACACCCTCATTTTCCTCCACATTCACTCCCCTATCTCTTTTTCTCTCTTAATCACTTCTGCTATTCTATTTTTCCTTAAGAATGAAATTCGAGCATCCTCCCTTGGACCCTCCTTGATATCTTCTTTGGGTCTGTGGCTTGTAGTAAGGGTATCCTGTACTATATGGCTAATCTCCACTTATAAGTGAGTATATACAATGTGTGTCTTTCTGGGTCTGGTTTATTTCACTCAGGATGATCTTTTCTAGTTTCATCTGATTGGGACCTCTGTTGAGACAGTTTATCATAGCAGAATTAGATGGTGAAGAAAAGCCAGTCTCCTTGTGGAGGAGGAAACAAAGAAGAAGAGGGGAGAGCTAGGATATTACCATCTTCTTCAAGGGCATACTCCAAGGTATTCAAGATCTACTCGGTTTCATGTATGTATGTACGTATGTATTTATTTATTTATTCACCTTACATCCCAATCATAGCCCCCTCCCTCCTCTCCTTCCACTTCCATCCTTCTTCCTCTTTTCCTTATACCCCTCTCCTACCCAACATCCCCCCTACCAACTCACCTGTGCCCATCAAGCCTCATTAGGACTAAGCTCATCCTCTTCCATGGTGGTCTGGCAAGGCAGCCCTGCCAGGGGAAAGTGATCGAAAAGCATGTAACAGAGCCCATGTCAAAGACAGCCCCTGCTCCCTTTACTATGAGACCCATATGCAGACCAAGCTGCCCATTGAGTACATATGTGTAGGGGTCCTATATCCAATCCATGCATGGTACTTGGTTGGTGTTTCAGACTCCTCAAGTTACCCCTGGGTCCAGGTTAGTTGGCTCTGTTGGTCTTCCTGTGGCACTCCTGTCCCTTCCAGGACCTTCTATCTTCCCCTAACTCTTTCACAAGGCTCCCTGCACTCTGCCTAAGGTTTGGCTGTGAGTCTTTGCATCTGTTTTAATCTGTTTCTGGGTGGAGCCTCTCAGAGGACAGCTATGCTAGGCTTCTGTCTGCAAGCATAGCAAAGTATCATCAATAGTGTCAGGGGTTGGCTCTCTCCTATGGGATGGATAAAAAAGATGTGCTACATTTACACAATGGATTACTACTTAGGTAATAAAAACAAGGAAATCATGAAATTTGCAGGCAAATGGATGAAACTAGAAAAAAATCATTCTGAGTGAAATAAACCAGACCCAGAAAGACACACAAGGTATATATTCACTAATAAGCGGAGATTAGCCATATAGTACAGGATACCCATACTACAAGCCACAGACCAAAAAAAGATAACAAGGAGGGCCCAAGGGAAGATGCTCAAATCTCATTCTTAAGGGAAAATAGAATAGCAGAAGTGGTTGAAGAGAGAGAAAGAGATAGGGGAGTGAATGTGGAGGAAAATGAGGGTGGAATCAGATGTGGGAAGAGTGGGGGAGGGAGGACAAGGGGCTTTCAGAGAGAAGAGAAAGCATGAAAAAAAGAGAAATGTGGGTGGGGGCATCCCTGAGACAAGCTGGAGACCTACAACACAGTAGACTCCTGGGAGGATATGGGGGTGAGTCTAGCTGAGACCCATAGTCGCATGGAGACTCAATAGGTCACCCTCTGACCAGACAGAAATCCTAGTGGAGGGAGAGGAATACCAACCCACTCACAAAGACTGCAACTCACAATTTACCCTGCCCTCAAGATGTGCAGGGATAAAAACAGAGCAGAGATTGAGGGAATGACCAACCAGTGCCTAGGCCTCACCTTTTAAAGGTGCCTGATCTCTTATGCTGGAAACAGACATTCCAGATCAATACTATGACATTGTCTGACTATATGTCTATTACCTATCTATCTATCTATCTATCTATCTATCTATCTATCTATCTATCTATCTAGTCTGTTTATCATCTACCATATATCTAATCTATCATCTATGCAGCAATAATCATCTTCTCTCTACATATCTATTATCTATCATTTATACAATTTTCATTTTTTATGTGAGTGTATTTGTGTGCCTCAGGTGCTCAAGTATGTTCTCTTTATTTTTTGAGACAGTATCTCTTGCTTGGCATTCAGTTTGTTTATTTGGCTATGCTAGATAGAGGCCCAGAGATCTTCCCTCTGTTTTTCTTATGCTAGCATTACAAGCATGCCACCTGCTCTTGACATTTTGTGTATGTCCTAGGAGATCAAAGTCAGGTCCTCAGGCTTGTATGGCAAGCATTTTACCAATAAAATCATCTTCCAAACCTCTATCTGTCTGTCTGTCTCTCTGTCTATCCATCCATCTGTATTAGTCAGGGTTATCTAGAGTCAAAGAACTGTGGAATGAATCTGTGTACACATAAAGGGAATTTATTGGAATGACTTACAGGCTGTAGTCCAACTAATCCAACAATTGCCACCTGTGAATGGGAAAGCCAAGAATCTAGTAGTTGCTCAGTCCCGTGAGGCTGTGTGTTTCAGCTGGTCTTGTGTGTAAGCTGGAATCTGAAAGAAGTAGCCTTCAATGGATGTGATGGCAAGATAAGTGCAAGCAGGTGAAGAACAATAAAACCCCTTCCTTCTTCCGTTATCTCTTAAAGTTATTTTTATAAATTTTTGTTTGTTTCTCAGTTTCTCTCTTAATACAGATAATTGAGACTCAATTATATTGTTTATCGATCTTTACAGCATAATCCTGACCAGTTTTAAGCTGTTCTTCACTCTCTAAGCTAGCCTGGCTTCCTCCCAGTTTAAATTCCTAAGTTACTCGCAGTTCCTCCCTCCTGATGTTTCCTGGACCTCTGCCCATGGCTGAATCCTCTACCTCCTCCTCTAGATCCTCCTGCCCTGGAAGACAGGAAGTCCAGCCCTATTCTCCCCCCTGACCAGGAATTGGCTGTAAGCTGTTTTATTGGCATTTCAGGGGACAATTGGGTAGCAGTGTTTACACAACATTGAGAGACGAGATTCTCAGTACAAGGACTGGAACCAGATCTGAGGGGTACAGAAATCAGCTTGGAATTACACAATGACTTTATGCCTACGATTGTCCTTACATAAGCCTCCAGCAGAAGGTGTGGCCTAGATTAAGGATGTGTCTCAAGATCTGGATCAAGTGTGTGTGCGTGTGTGCGTGTGTGCATGTGTGCGTGTGTGTGTGTGTGTGTGTGTGTGTGTGTGTGTGATCCCATCTCAAGATCTGGATTAAACAGTGTGTCATCCCACCTCAAGATCTGGATCAAAAGCTTGTCTTCCTGCCTCAAGATCTGGATCATAGGTGTGCCCTCCATTTCTGATTGTAGTTCATTTCAGATACAGTCAAGTTGATAACAGAGAATCACAGTATCCTACCTATCTGTCTATTTATCATCTGCCATGCCTATTATGTAGCATACCTCTTTCTCCCAACTTGGTGTTCATATTGTATAGCTAAAACCATACTATTTTAACACTCCTAGAAGTTCTTTTGGCACAGTCTCTAGTTGGTTTCTGTTTCCCCTTAGAAAATCAGTTCTGGATTTTTCTGTGAGCAAGTTTTGCCCATCATTGACCTTTGTATAGCTAGAGTTGTACATTCTTTGTATCCAGGTTCTTTTACACTCCATGTTGCTTCTGAGACTTGATGGTCTTACATGTATTTTATTTATTTATTCTTGTTGAAGTTTGGGGTTATTCTCTTACATGATTATGTCCTGATTTGTTTATCACTCTCTTTGGGCTCCTTCTAGTCTGATCTTTTATGGATAATGCTACCATGATCACTCCTTTTGGGGGTTGTTTTTGGTGATGGTATTGGGAATTACATTTAGTGACTCAAGTGTCCCAGAGAAGCACTATACTCCTGAGTCATAAGCCTAGCCTTTGTTGTTGTTGTGTTGTTTTGTTTCTTGAGACAGGGTTTCTCTGTGTAGCCGTGACTGTCCTGGACTCGCTTTGTAGACCAGGCTGGCCTTGAACTCACAAAGATCCACTTGCCTGTGCCTCCTTAAGTGTTGGTATTACAGGCTTGTACCACCACACCCGGCTTATAGGCCTAGTCTTGACACCAGCATCTTCATGTGTTCAGCAGCTTCCTTGACTTAAAAACTCTGTCCAGGACCCAGGAGATTGAAGCAGGGGGGAAAGAAGTTCAAGGTCATCCTCACCAACAGTAAATATGAGGCCAGCCTGGACCGCATACTGAGACTTAGCCTCAAAACAAAACAAACAAAAACTAAAATAAACAAAACTCTCATACTAAAACCAAAATCAAAGGCAAATGCATTCATGACCAGTACTCACTCATGTAACTTGAGCCAGAAAAGCATTTCTGGGCCTGTGGCTGTGGCTCTGTTGGTAGAGTGCTGGTCTAGCAAACACAAAGCCCTGGGTTCAGTTCCTGGCACTACTTAACCCACATGTTGGGGCATGTGTCCATCAGGAGGTGGAAAGCAGGAGTTTTGAGGCTACATGGAATCCTTTCTCAAATACAAAGTCAAATAAAGTGAAAATAGGAAAGAGAGAGGCTGTCTGGGTTCTGTGCATCTGCCTCCATAATGAGAATCTGATCAGCTCTGTTAGGAAAGGAGTATTGGCCAATGTCTAGTAACCACCATGTCTGCTTCCCAATTTCCATAAATCTCAGCAATGACTTGTTCACATCATCTCAGTATGAACCCGGCAAGCTCAGTGTTAGGTCTTTTGAAGGTTACCCATTTAAGGTCTGAAACGTGACTGAGACAGAAGAGGACCAAGAGAGGCAAGTCTCTGAAGGGGTTTACAGGAACATGTTGCAACAGATGGCATCAACACATTTCCTGAGGATGGACGTGGAAGAAGGAACTGAGCAGCCAGCTCAAACCCAGCTCTGCCTACTCCCTGAGGTTGGAGAGACTGCAGTAACCTGGTAATAGAGCTGACGAAGATCCTTGGACCAGCCGCTGAGCCACCATGATCCCTAGGCTCCTTCCCCTTCTCTGCCTCCGTAAGTTGCTCAGGATCACCTACCCAGTCTCCAGGAAATCATAAAACTGGTGAGATACTTAGATGGGGATTATAGCCAGATGGGTGTCCTCAGTACATAGGACAAACCAGAAATCTGAGTACATTCTACGTGTTAGGACAAAACTAATGCTCAACATGCAGTAACATAAATGAGGAAAAAAATAGGGGCTGGTCTGTAGCTCTGTTGACAGAGTGCTCGCTGAGTGAGCGTGAAGCCCTGGTTCCTTCCCCAGTGCTAAAAAGCAAGTATGGTGACATGAATCTGTAATCTCAGTACATGGGACACAGAGACAGGTAAACAGGTCATCTTCAGCTAAATAAGGAGTTTCCGGCCAGCCTGGACTTTGTGAGATTTCCCTCCACCCCCAACACACACAAAGTAGATAGAACATAGATATAGTGTAAAGTATTCAAACTGGGAACTTCTATGTACTGTTGTTGGCCAAGGTTGAGTCAGCAGCTGTCTACTTTTCTACAAAGCCAACTTGTTATGGTTGAGATATGTCAGAGACCAACCTCAGAAAGACGGTCTTGCTTATTTATTTTAATTAATTTATTTATTTTGAGACAGGCTTTTACGATGCAGCCCTGGCTGACCTGGAACTCACTATGTAGACCAGGCTGGCCTTGAACTCATAAAGATCCTCCTGCCTACGCTCTCAAGTGCTGAAATTACAGGTATGTGCCTCCATACCCACCTCTTTTGATATAATAATATCTACAAGAGGGGATAAATAGTATTAAATAACTTCTTAGCAGGGTGTGGTGGCACATATCTGTAACCCAGCTTTAGACAGGTTGAATCAGGAGGATCAGAAGTTCAAAGCCATCCAGTCACATCGTGAATTTAAGTTCAGCCTGGATTACATGAGTCTCTCTCTCTCTCTCTCTCTCTATCTATCTATCTATCTATCTATCTATCTCTCTATCTATAAATATATATATGACCCATATACAATATATTTATATGAACCATGTACAGTAGAACATCTTTAATCCCAGTATTGAGGAGGCAGAGGCAGGTTGATCTCGGTGAGTTTGAAGGCAGCCTGGACTACATAGTGAGACTATTCTGACTCACTTTGTGTTTAAAAACAAACAAAACAAAAAATTCCAAAACTTTTTGAAGAAAATTAAGTTTGCTTTCACAGGTTAGAAATTTGGTCTGAATTGCAAACTGAAGTGGTTTGCTGTAAATTTCAAAGATTTTGAGGAAACTGAATTTCAACCCAGGTGTGTCTAACCCCAACAATATTACTGGTTCCATGTTGCCCTGATGTTCAATGAACAGGACCGAACTTACAGGGTTCTGAGGCTATCTTGGGGATGTTTGGAGGAACTTGGGGTTTGTCTTTTTTTGTTTTGTTTTGTTTGTTTGTTTTCATTACTGACCCTGTCTTTATTCATCTGTCTCAGTTCCTGAGTCTAACTGCAGGCTGCTGAGAACATTCTGTGGTTCTTTCTGAGAACTTACGGGTGAAAACCAAGGTACTCCAGGGACAAGCTAACCTTGATGGAGTCTGAGAAACAACATAGAGTTAGTTCTGCTAATTTAATTCTTTCATACTGCATTTACATCATTCCTGCTCATCATCTCCTTCCATGTCCTCATGTCTGACTTTCCAAATTTACAATCTCTTCTTTAACTATCATTGTTATGTACAATATATATAACATATATATGTACATATGTGTGTATGCATGTTCATGAGCACATATATACAACTACTGAGTCCATGCAGCTTTACTCGTATGGGTATGTGTCCAGGAGTGACCACTCAGCATTGGTCAACCTGTGTGAGACTCATCCCTGGAGGAGACTGATTCTTCTCTCAACAACCATTCAGCATCTGTAGCTCCTCATCTAGGGTGACGACACCATGTGCAGGCAGGAGGAGTTTTATTTTAGTTTTAATTTATTACACTTTATCTATTTGTGTGTACATTGTAAATAAGTTTTGTGTGTGTGTACATGTGTATGTGTGTGCACCTATGCAGACGTGCATGCACGCCTGGAGGCAAGAGGTCAATCTCTAGTGAGTGTGTCAGATCTTGGAGTTACAGACATTTGTGAGCTGTGGGTGCTGGGATTTGAACCTGGGTCCTCCTCTGGAAGAGCAGTCAGTGCCATTAACCACTGAACCATCTCTCCAGGCCCTTTGTCTATTTGTTTTAAGACAGCCTCTCTCTATGCAGTCCTGGCTGTCCTGCAATTCATGATGTAGATCAGACTGGCCTCAGACTCACAGCAATCTGAGTGCTGCTGCCTCACTGAGTGCTGGAATTAAAGGCGTGCGCCACCATGCCTGGCTGTCCCCAGTGTCTTTTTCACTTGTTTGTTTTGAGACATGCTTTCTCTATGAAGTCCTGTCTGACTGGAACTCCTGTTGTAGACCAGGCTGGCCTTAATCTCACAGAAGTCCTCCTGCCTCTGACTCCTAAGTGTCGGAATTAAGGGTGTGCCCCACCATTCCCTCCACAGGGTCTTGATACCATGAGGAGCAGGCTAACTGATCTCCCCAGTGTCCTACAAGGCTGGTGCTCCTTCCCAGGAGAGGTTATGACCCAGACAATGGGACCCATGCTCTAGCAGAGGGTGATATGAAGCTTGGGGATAGGGATGAGAATTAGAAGGGTTTGTGGGAGTTTATAGAACTGTCATGGGACCCTTGGAGTGAGAGCAACAAGATGATAATGGCCAATCTCAGAAACCAAAGCCACATCCCAGAGCAGGGAGCATGCAACCCCCTGAGAGGCAGATCCCAAGTGATAACATGACAGTGCTCTCAGGGTGCCCTCAAGAATGGTGACGAGATGACTCCAGACAGGAACTTGTGCTCAGGTGTGATTTTTTCCCCCCCAGGGCTGTGTGTTGGGCAAATAAGCATTCCTGGCAATGGTAAGTGGGTCTTAAGGCAAACTCTTCTTCCTTTACCCTCAACACCCTGCTCTTCCTCCCCCCTTTTATATCATTTGTGTGTATGTCCATGGGCATATATCTGAGAACACGTGTACGTGTGCACGCATGTAGAAGTCAGAAGTCAGCAACTTTGGTGTTATTTCTCAGGAGTCCTCCATCCTTTTTGTTTTAGTTTTGGGTGGTGGTGGTACTGTAATTCTTTTTTTCTTTTCCCTTTCTCCATCCTTCCCTCCCTCCCTCCATCTGTCCTTTCTTTCTTTTCTCCTTCCTTCTTTCTTTCTTTCTTTCTTTCTTTCTTTCTTTCTTTCTTTCTTTCTTTCTTTCTCTCTTTCTTTCCTCCTTTCTTTCTTTTGGTGAGACAAGGTCTTTCATTAAACCCAGGGCTGAAGGTGTATGTGTGTGCACGTGCACCAATTAGGCACAAGGATCCCAGGAAGCCCCAGGGATCCAGCTGTCTCCACGTCGCCAGCAATGGGATTACAAGCATGCACTACCACACCCTGATTTGTATGTGGATTCCAGGATTCAAACTCTGGTATTCACGAGTAAAAGCATTTTACTAATTGATCTATCTCCCCAGTGCTCTCTCCCTCTTTAAAGAAAATCGGAAAGTAAGGTGTGTGTGGGGGGGGGGGGCAAGATGGAGGAGGAGTAGGAGGCAAAACGGAGATTCAACAACTGGATGACTAGGTTCGGAGACAGGGGCAGTGTGTGTGTGTGTGTGTGTGTGTGTGTGTGTGTGTGTGTGTGTGTCTGTGCGTCACGGAGACGACGTTTGGAGCAGGTAAGTATGTCAGGCGCAGCTCTGGACTCCATTTCCTTCCAGGGCCTCTCCCGAAGCCCAGCCTCAGTGCCTGGCCCAGCTCAGTTCTCCCCAGCAAGAGCAGTGTGACAATGCGATGTAACAGCCTTACCTCAAGTAAATACTTCATCCTAAAAAAGGAAGGTGTTGTTCTGGATTCTGTGAAGCCTTATAATTTTTCAGAGGAGATGGCTGATTTCCATATCACTGAGTTACGACAGAATGATGGAGGGTACTACACCTGTGAATACTACAGCAAATGGCTCCACAGCACACTGGCACAGTCCAGTGATGCCCTTCTCCTCTTGGTCACAGGTGAGGAAGGCCTGCCTCAGAGAGACTGTGGCAATCCTCAGGCAGAGGTTGAGGGAGGGACTAGAAGAAGGGAGGAAGGAGAGGGTGGGATCTCCAGAGCAAGAGTTAGAGGAGGGGGAATGTGGCTCCACCCAGGGTTTGTGGGAGCGGAAAAGAGAAAAAGAACAAGAGTTAGCACAGGCCCACAGCTTCTTCCCTTGAGCTCAGAGCCTCTTTCTCTTCTAGGGTACTTACCTAAACCTTCCCTGCAAGCCCACCACAGGGGCACAGTGACTGCAGGAAGCAAGGTGACTCTGCAGTGCCAGAAAGCAGGCAGTGTGCTTGGACCCATACAGTTTGCGTTGCTGAAGGCGGGACGCTCATTGCCTGTGCAGACGAGGAGCGCAACAGGAATGGTAGTAGACTTCTCTCTTCAGAACGTGACAGCCGGAGACTCGGGGAAATACAGCTGTGTATACTACCAGGCGAAGGCTCCCTATCGGGCCTCAACCCCCAGCGATCTCTTTGAGATCTCTGTGATAGGTGAGGTTGTGTGTAATTTTGTGAATACCTGTGCATATGTGTGTGTATGTTGTGTGTTGTATGTGTGTAGGGGGTTCATAGTTAGTAGACATTTTTAAAGCTATGCAATATCTATATTTCTATTTTTATGATTATTGCTATTATTATTTTGAGAACAGGTCTCAGGCCAGCAGGTCTCTAGCTGGCCTCGTAACTCACTATGTAGCTCAGGCTAGCCTCAGAGTCACAGAGATCTGCCTGCCTTTGCCTGAAAATGCTAGGGCCAAAGGGGTACACTGCTACTCTGGCTTCCTATAATTTATATTAATCTTTCAGGTTAATATAAAGTTAATCTTCATGGGATTTAGAATCACCAAGAAAACACATCTCTGGCTTTGTGGGTGAGGGATTATCTAGATTAGGTTATGAGGTAGGAAGACTCATCCTGAGGGTAGGCAGTGCCATCAGTGGGCTGGGGTCCAAATAAAAACGCTAAAGGTAACTGACCGAAGTGTTTACCGCTCTCTGCTTCCTGGCTGCAGACAACACAGCCCTCTGTCTCGTGCTCACTGCCTTTCCCACTGGGATCAACAGCAGCCTCACACAATGAGTCAAAACAAAGCTTTCCTTTGGATGCCTTAGTCAAGTATTTGACCACTAATAGCACACAAAGTTTAATCAAGGTGACTCCATACGGGCATTTATTCCCATTCCCTCCCCCTCTACTCTGTCTTGCCATCTTCCTGGACCCCAGCTGCTTCCTTCTCTTCTCCCTTAGTTTCAGTGTCGGCTTTGCTGTTATATGCATCCCATTATACACTCTTTATTCCCCCTAATTTTCGTCCTCACTTCTCACTATCCCTGTATACATTAGTGACCCCCAATATAAATACACACATACGTGCACAAGTATAATTTTAAATCTAGGTACTACATTTGAAAGGAAACATGGTTCTAATCTTACTGAAGCTGGCTTATTTCATTTAATAAAATTGACTCCAGAAGACACCATACCTTTGCTTTTCTTCATAGCTGCATAAACTTGTTATGTATACATTTCACACTTGCTTCATTCATCTATCGCTGTATCTGGCCATTGTGAATAAGGCAGCAATTAATATGGATGAGCAGGCATCCCTGGGTATACTGGCTTAGAGTCCTCCACATATGTACCAAGGAGTGACACAGCTGGGACACTGATGTCTATAGTAACTGTACAAGTTTACACTCCCAGCAGCAGTGTTAAGGATGCCTCTCCCCCCTCATCATCACCAGCACTGGTTGATGCTCACGCAGCCATTTTGATTGTGATAAGATAGAATCTTATGAGATAAGACAGAATCTCATGACAGGGTTTCTCTATGTAGTTTTGGCTGTCCTGGACTCATGCCTGGCTTCTCATAACACTTTTAGTTAGCATTTCCCTGAATATCTTTTTCAACTATTTAATGGCCATTTCTGGTTCTGAGAACTGCCTATTCAGTTCATTTGTTCATATATTGTTTGGATGATTTTTGTTGCTTAATTTTCAGAGTTCTTTATTTTTTGTATATAATAATCCTCTTAAAAACTTGTATAATCGTACAAGTTTTTCCCCCTTTCTACATTATGTCTCCTTACACTGTAGAGTGTTTCCTTTGTCGTATAGAAGCCTTTTAATTTCGTGTAATCCCATTTGTTAGTTCTCTGGATTATTTCTTGTGCTAACAAAGAATTTTTTATCCAGTCCTTGCCTATGTCTATATGTTTAAGTGGTTTGTTTTGTTTTGTTTTGTTTTGTTTTGTTTTGTTTTGTTTTCCTCTAGTAGTGTCAAAGTTTCTGGTCTAAGGCCTTTGACTTATTTAGAATTGATTTTTGTGCAGGGTAAAAGATACAGATCTATTTTCATGTTCAACAAGCAGACATTGTTGTTCCCAATGTCATTTGTTAAAGAGAATATTGTTATGCCTAGATCACGAGACCAAGAGACCACCAGGAACACAAGTCAAGTGAAAACACAAGAGAGTTCTTTTATTACAAGCTCGAGCTTGGGTCGCAATCCTTCCTGGCAGGTTGGGAGAGCGACCCGAGGTCTAGGGAGACAGGGTTTTTAAAGGGAAAAACTGAAAGCAGGGACTTCCAAGCCTTGGTGTTATATGATTGGACAAAGGATCAAAGGAATGCAATGCACTGTAAACAAATTGGTTAATCGCAATGTGGTTAAACCACAGAGAAAAATAGTCAGTCCAAAAGGATATCTTGACCTGGGAGCAACTCATGTTTTTCTTGACCATCCCCATCATTATCAGTTAGCCTGAGTTGCTGTGTATGGCTGCAAGCTGCTGAGAACATTCTGTGGCTTTTCCTGGAACTCAAGGGTGGAGGCCAACTCACTCTAAGGACAGTCAACTTAAGATAGAGTCTGAGAAAGAAAATGGAGTTAGCCCTGTTACTTTTATCCTCTTCAGATATCTTATCTATAATATTTTTTTGCTTGTTTGTTTTTGAGACAAGTTTTCACTATATAACCCTGGCTGGCCTGTAACTCAGAGAAATCTTCCTGCCTCTGCCCCCAGAGCACTGGTATTATAGGTGTGCACCACCATTCCTGGTTGCAGCGTGTTTTTGACCCCTTTGGCAGAATTGGGCTGATTCCTGGGCCATCTGTTCTGTTTGAATGGTCTACATGTCTGTGTCTATGCAGTGCCATTCTGTGTTTTTTGGGCTTGTGGTTGTTGCTATCTCTCTATAATATAATTTGAGACTGGGTATCATGATGTTTCCAACATGGCTTTTTCTGCTAAGGATCAGTTTTGCTATTTGATGGCTCCTGTGCTTCCTTCGCATGAGTTTTAACATCATTTCTTCTAGCACTGTGAAGAACATCATTATGATTTTGATAAAGATTACATCAAATCTGCAGATTGCTTTTTTTGTAATGTAGCCACTCTTACAATAGGAATTCTGCCAATCATGAGCAGGGGAGGTCTTTCCATCTTCTAGTGTCTTCTTCAGTTTCTTTCTTCAGTGTTTTGAAGTTTTCACTGTGGAGGTCTCCTACACATATTCCTATATATAGGTAAACAATTATAAGTGAATTTTCTCCCTGATATAATTCCGTTATGTTTGAGGTCTTCAAAATCATCCAGTTTCTTTCTAGAATGTTGCCCCGTTAAATGCCACACACCTTGCTTGTGAACTCTCACTGTCAGATATGAAGGTCTGTGTGGTCAGTAATGAGGTGAAGAATGATCTTCTGTGGAGTAGTGATGTTACCTGCTTTTCCCTGTGGGTCTTTCCCGCAGGTAACCGGTCTGTTGCTGCGTTTAGTTATGAAGCTGCAGTCTTTGGGATGAGCTGGTTCGTGTGCTGGCTTCTTTAAAGACAGATCAATGCCAAGCATCACATCAGTACCACCTCTCCCCCTTCTCCTCCTCCTGCTTTTCTTGTGTGGGTTCATGTGCATAAGTGCAGGCACTCACATGCCTAGAAGAAAGCCTTGGCTGGTCCTTGTCTTCTGCCTTGTGGGAGAAGGGGTCTCTTTCAGTTCACTGCAGATGTCAGGCTAGCTGGCCCACAAGCCCCTGTGGGTCCTCCTCCTGACTCACTACCGGGCTCACTACCTGACTCGCATACGGGCTTTAGGTGTGCACTACTGTAGCTTTTTGCCTTTTTCGCTGTTTGGGTTCTTCTCCTAACAATGTCTTCTCTAGCTCAGCTCAACTTCTCTTGGCTCAACGGTCTCTTATTTTCACTCTGCTCAATCTCTTCTCTTCTATAGCTCTACTCAATCTTCTTTCTTTCTACACCAACGATCTCTAACCCTACTCTCTGACCCCACTCCTCTGCCACCTGGACCCTGCTCTCTTTCTCCTGGACCCTACTTTCTCTTCTGCCATCTAGACTCTACTCTTCTGCCATTGGATCCTATGCCTCTCTCAGCCTCTGCTGGCTTTTTATATCCCAGAAGTCTAAGAAGCAATCGACATTGAAGAACAAAGGTCAAACAGTTCTAATGGCTAAGCATTCCACATAGGGCCAGTGGACTAGCCACTGGAAATCCTTTAAAGGGCCAGGCACACAAAATAAATCACAAAATAAATACACACTACTGTATTCACCTTTATGTGGGTTCTGGGGTTGAGATACTTTACCCACTTAGCCATTCATTTCCCTTGTTCCTTTCCATCCTCTTGAAGGGGAGATACACAGTGAACCAGACTTTCCTTTGCTAGGTTCAAATCCTCTGAATTTCACTGCCAACATGGCATTTTGTGGTCTGAGGAAGCATGCTGACCTGCCACTGATTGCTGTGTTCTGTGGATCTATGTGCTTTGATCTATGTGCTTCGCCTAAGATTAACTCCTAATACATAAAGGGAGATAGAGAAATGGAAGAATGCAGAGGCAAAAATGAGATAAAGCTAAACAAAGGAAAAGAGCTGAGGCAGAGTTGAACATAAAGAAGAGAAGGTAAAGGAATACCCATTTCAACTCACAGTTAAATCTTTAGAGAACACAGTCCAGGATGCAAGCAGACGTCTGGGAGTCAGATTCAGTCAAGAGGGATGCTCTCTGTGGCCAGTGATGATCATCTTCTCCTTTTCAGAGCCTCCAGAGCCTCCAGAGCCCCACGGTACCATGACAGAAGACTACACCATGGGCAACCTCATTCGGATTGGAGTAGCTGCTATAATCATGCTGATAATGGGAGGTTTTCTGGTTGAAGCCTGGCATAGCCAGAGGTTGTCTCCAAATAGACCTTGGTTAAGTAACTGAACACTCCTTGTTCTAATGGGCTGTTGTGTGGTTGTGACTGTTTTCTGCTTCCCAGGTAAACAGGTATAATTGACAGGTACAAATTGAATGAATTTACTATGTATAAAGTAAGATCTTGACATATTTAATTAAAAAATTAATGTGCTTTTCCTGAATGTATGTCTGTGTAACCCATGTACGTCTGTACCATGTGCATACCTGAGGCTTGCAAAACCAGAAGGAGGTGTTGAATTCACAGATGGCTGTGAACCACCATGCGTATGCTAGGAATTGACCCATGGTCCTCTGCAAGAGCATCCAGTACTTTTAACTGCTGGGTCATCTCTCCAGTCCCAACATATTAAATGTTTATGTGTCAGTTATACTTCAATCACCCTAGGAAAAATAATTAATTAACCAATTATGTACTGAATAAGAAATTTTACCAGTCATGAAATGGCTGTCAGAAAGCAGCTTCAAATCTACGAACCAATTAAGAGCTACTTTTTTGGCAAAATTTAATTGTTGTCCACTTACTTAGCCTTGTTACTTATAGATAGAGGATACTATGCTGTACCCTAAATAAATATGGGTTTATCTAAAAATCAGGTCCCACCCAGTGGTTTCTCAGGTTTCTCCACATAGGCACACAGAAAATTTATTTTCACCATATGGTAGTGATGAGAAACTGGGGCTAGAGAGATGGTTTGGTGGTTAAGAGCACTTGTTGCTTTTACAGAAGATGGGGCTTTGTTTCCCAGCACCCACATTGTGGCCACTACTACCTTTAACCCCAGTTCCAGGTGTGCAATTCCCTCTTCTGGCTCTGAAGGCACCAGGCATACAAATAGTACATAAACACGCATTCATACAAAAACCCATACACATAAAGTCAAACAATAAATATCAAATAATGAAAAAAGTGGTTTGTGGAGAAGCCGGCGGGGCAAGATGGCGGCGCCGGGAGGACTCTCATTCTGAGGAGCAACACAGCAGGATTGGCACAGTGACCAGCAATCAGAACTCGCGGCCATAAAACACAAGTGGTTGTGTTTCTCAGGTGAGAGGATACCCCACGGTGGGGGATTCAATCAGCTTAACTCACCCGGCTAAACCGCAGAAAAGATCCCGGTTCCGCCAGGCGCTTGGTCGCCAGCCCAGAGCTACCCGCCAGCGCGATCTGGTCACGGTCCCAGACTGAACTGTGGGCCCACAACACCATAGACTGGATTTCCCAGTCGAGAGATAACCCCACGAAGCAGGAAACAATTGGGACCGACCCCAGGTTACCCAGACATCCCCTGGAAAAGACTCGGGTTCCGCGGGTGCCCCAGGAGCCAGCCCGGACCCAGAGCCGGGACAAAGGCGCCTGCACAGAGCCCTGCCTGCGCGCGTGATTCGCCGCCTCAGATAGAACTGTGGGCACCAGGGCACCAGGGCACCAGGGCACCAGACTGCGTGTCTCTGGCAGGAGGAAACCCCCAGCGGAGGGGGTCAGCAGCTCTAACGCTTAGGACACCCAGCACCAAAACACTTCCTGGACTCACGCAGACTCTAGTGCAGGCAGAAGCGCTGTGCTCTGCCGCCATTGTTGCGTTCCCCTGGGGCACTGGGACACACAGCTGCATCCTCGGACCTGCAGGAGCCGAAGAGCCATTACAGCAGCCCTCAGATACTGTGCCAGGGATCGGCCAGTTGTCCCTGGCTGGACTGCCAAAACTGTGGGAATCCCTGATCCTTCAGGGGGGCTGCACCCACAGCGTCTGGACCAGAGCGGTGCCTACAGCCACCATCCCAGACAGAGACACACAGCTTCTGGTCCAGAGTGAGGCACCCGGCCTCCAGACCAGAGCAGTGCCCCCAGGCACCAACTCAACCTAGGTGCACATTCTCCAGGTCCAGAGCAGAGCAATCAGCCTTTGGCCCAGAGACTTGCTGAGTGCACCTCCCACTTTCTCAGACAGAACTGTGCGCCCCAGGATAACAGACTGAGTTTCCCTGTTGGGAGAAAACCTCACAGCTAGGGAATCAGCAGTCTCTTCAAGAGGACTGTACATGGAAATTTAGTGAGCAGCAGCACACTAAATTTATAACAAGAAACCCAGCAGTGGGGCAGCTGTCTTGAGAAATTTTATGGGAGGAGATCCCCCCCTGCCTAACATAGACCACAGCTACTACTCAGGGCTATAAACCTGAGGTGAGCAGTGGCAACTCCGGAGAAACACTGGCCATACAGTGACCATAACCAAAAAGCAGAGAAGGACTCCTTCAGGAAAAATCATCTTCCGGCCAAGGGGATACTCCCTACCTCAGGACTCCAGGAAGCACAGAAAATAACAGCCAACACCTACATCAGCCCAATGGGTAGAGGTCAGCGTAAAGGCTCAACCAACAAAAGACAGAGCAATGTGGCATCTCCAGAACCCAGCCATCCAGGGGCGAACAGCCCTGAACAATGCAGCATAATAGAAAATCAAGAAGATGACCTTACATCTATGTTGATGAAGAGAATAATAGAGGAAACAGATAAAATACGTAAAGAATTAGAAGAAGATAAAACCAAACAGATCATGGCTATCCGTAAAGAAATGGAGGAAGATAAAGACAAGCAAATTAGGGCCATCCGTGAAGAAATACGGGAAGATGCAGCCAAACAGCTTGTGGCCTTCAGAGAAGAAATAATTAAATCACTGAAAGAAATAAAAGAGACAGAGTTGAAGGAACTAAAAGAAAAAGAGGAAAATACAAGCAGACAGGTGAAGGAAGTAAACAAAACAACTCAAGACCTGAAAATAGAACTAGAAAATTTAAAGAAAACACAAATGGAGGAAATATTGGAGAGGAAAAATTTAGGGAAGAAAACAGGAACTACAGAGGTAAGCATAACCAACAGAATACAAGAAATGGAAGAAAGAATCTCAGGTGTAGAAGATACAATGGAAGAAATTGATGTATCTGTCAAAGAAAATGTTAAATCCAAAAAATTCCTGACACAGACCGTCCAAGAAATCCAAGACAATATGAAAGGACAAAACCTAAGAATAATAGGAATAGGGGAAAAAGAAGACTCCCTTCTCCAAGGCCCAGAAAATATTTTCAACAAAATCATTGAAGAAAATTTCCCCAAGTTAAAGGAGAAGCCAATAAGGATACATGAGGCCTACAGAACACCCAACAAATTTGACCAGAAAAGAAAATCCTCCCGCCACATAATAATCAAAACAGTAAGTATACAGAACAAAGAAAAAATACTAAAAGCTGCAAGGGAAAAAGGCCAAGTGACATATAACGGCAAACCCATTAGAATCACACCTGACTTTTCAACAGAAACTATGAAAGCCAGAAGGGCCTGGACAGATATCATGCAGATCCTAAGAGAACACAGATGTCAACCCAGGCTACTATACCCTGCAAAACTCTCAGTCCTCATGGATGGAGAAAACAAGATATTCAATGACAAAAACAAATTTCAACAATACCTACACACAAATCCAGCATTACAGAAGACACTGGAAGGGAAAATACAACCCAAGAAAATTAGCTTCTGTCAAGAAAACACAGGAAATAATTAACCTTACTACAGCAAAACAAAAAGCAACCAAGCACACAAACTTATGAACACAGCCAACATCAAAATCAAAGGATCTAACAGCCACTGGTCATTAATCTCTCTCAACATCAATGGACTCAACTCTCCAGTAAAAAGACACAGATTAACAGAATGGATACGTAAATAAAACCCAGCAATCTGTTGCATACAAGAAACACACCTAAGACACAAAGATAGACATTACCTGAGGGTAAAACGTTGCCCCAAATACAAGAGCATCCACATTTGTAAAAGAAACATTGATAAAATTTAAACCACATATAGATCCCCACACATTAATAGTGGGAGACTTCAACACCCCACTCTCAACAAAGGACAGGTCAACAAAACAGAAATTAAACAAAGAAACAATATCTCTGACAGAGGTCATGAATCAAATGGACCTCACAGACATCTACAGAACTTTACACCCAAACACAAAAGAATTTACCTTCTTCTCAGCACCTCATGGAACCTTCTCCAAAATAGATCATATAGTTGGTCACAAAGCAAGCCTCAACAGATACAAGAAGACTGAAATAATCCCTTGTATCCTGTCTGATCACCATGGAATAAAGCTGGACTTCAACAACAACAGAAATAGCAAAAAGCCTACACACTCATGGAAACTGAACAACTTGTTACTAAATGACAGCTGGGTCAGGGAAGAAATAAAGAAAGAAATTAAAGCCTTTCTAGAACTCAATGAAAATGAAGACACAACATACCCTAACTTGTGGGACACAATGAAAGCAGTGCTAAGAGGAAAGTTCATAGCACTAAGTGCCTTCAAGAAGAAATTCGAGACAGCTCATTCAAGCAACTTAATGGCCCACTTAAAAACCCTAGAAAAAGAAGAAGCACACACACCAAAAAGGAGTAGACGGCTGGAAATAATCAAACTCAGGGCTGAAATCAATCAATTAGAAACAAATAAAACAATTCAAAGAATAAATGAAACCAAGAGCTGGTTCTTTGAGAAAATCAACAAGATCGACGAACCCTTAGCCAAGCTAACTAAAAGGCAGAGAGACACCACCCAAATCAACAAAATCAGAAATGAAAGGGGGGACATAACTACAGACACTGAGGAAATCCAAACAATCATTAGGACATACTTCAAAAGTCTATATGCCTCAAAATTGGAAAATCTAAATGAAATGGACAATTTTCTTGATCGATTTGACTCACCAAAGCTGAATCAGGACCAGGTAAATCAACTAAATAGTCCTATATCCCCAAAAGAAATAGAAGCAGTCATCAAAAGTCTCCCATCCAAAAAAAGCCCAGGACCAGATGGCTTCAGCGCAGAATTCTACCAGACCTTCAAAGAAGAGCTAACTCCAATTCTCTTCAAACTATTCCACAAAATAGAAACAGAAGGAACATTACCAAACTCATTCTATGAAGCCACAATCACCTTGGTACCTAAACCTCACAAAGACTCAACAAAGAAAGAGAATTTCAGGCCAATCTCCCTTATGAACATTGATGCAAAAATACTTAACAAAATACTTGCAAACCAGATCCAAGAACACATCAAAGATATTATCCACTATGACCAAGTAGGCTTCATCCCAGGTATGCAGGGGTGGTTCAATATACGGAAATCCATCAATGTGATCCACCATATTAACAAACTGAAAGAAAAAAACCACATGATAATCTCCCTAGATGCTGAAAAAGCATTTGACAAAATCCAACATCCATTCATGTTTAAAGTACTGGAGAGATCAGGGATACAAGGCACATATCTAAACATAGTAAAGGCGATATACAGCAAGCCTATAGCCAACATCAAACTGAACGGAGAGAAACTTAAAGCAATCCCACTGAAATCAGGGACAAGACAAGGCTGCCCACTGTCTCCATATCTCTTCAACATAGTGCTGGAAGTCCTTGCTAGAGCAATAAGACAGTCGAAGGAGATCAAGGGGATACAGATGGGAAAGGAAGAAGTCAAATTATCACTATTTGCAGATGATATGATAGTATATATGAGTGACCCCAAAAACTCTACCAGGGAACTCCTACAGCTGATAAGCACCTTCAGCAAAGTGGCCGGATACAAAATTAACTCAAAAAATCAGTAGCACTCCTGTATACAAAAGACAAAAGGGCTGAGAAAGAAATTAGAGAAACAACACCATTCACAATAGCCACAAATGACATAAAGTACCTTGGTGTAACCCTAACCAAGCAAGTCAGACTTGTATGAAAAAAATTTCAAGTCTCTGAAGAAAGAATTAGAGGAAGATATGAGAAGATGGAAAGATCTCCCATGCTCATGGCTTGGCAGGATTAACATAGTAAAAATGGCCATCTTACCAAAAGCAATCTACAGATTTAATGCAATTCACATCAAATTGCCAACACAATTCTTTACAGACCTGGAAAGAAAAATTCTCAACTTCGTATGGAATAACAAGAAACCGAGAATTGCTAAAACAATCCTCTACAATAAAAGATCTTCTGGAGGTATCTCCATCCCTGATCTCAAGCTGTACTATAGAGCAACAATTATAAAAACTGCATGGTACCAGCATAGAAACAGAATGGTGGATCAATGGAATCGAACAGAAGACCCAGAAATAAACCCACACACTTACGGACACCTGATTTTTGACAAAGATGCCAAAACCGTACAATGGAAAAAAGATAGCATCTTCAAGAAATGGTGCTGGTCCAACTGGATGTCTACATGTAGAAAAATGAAAATAGATCCATACTTATCACCCTGCACAAAACTGAAGTTTAAGTGGATCAAAGACCTCAACATAAAACCAGACACATTAAATCGGCTAGAAAAAAAAGTGGGGAATACCCTAGAACTCATTGGTACAGGAGAAAACTTCCTGAACAGAACACCAACAGCACAGGCTCTAAAAGCAACAATCAATAAATGGGACCTCATGAAATTGAAAAGCTTCTGTAAAGCAAAGGACACCGTCATCAAAACAAAGCGACTGCCTACAGATTGGGAAAGAATCATCACCAACCCTCTATCTGACAGAGGACTCATATCCAATATATATAAAGAACTAAACAAGCTGAAAAGCAACAAACCAAGTAATCCACTTAAAAAATGGGGAACAGAGCTAAAGAGAGAATTCTCTGCAGAGGAATATCGAATGGCAGAGAAGCACTTACAGAAATGCTCAACCTCATTAGCCATTAGGGAAATGCAAATCAAAACAACCCTGAGATTTCACCTTACACCCATCAGAATGGCCAAGATGAAAATCTCAAGGGACAACACATGCTGGAGAGGTTGTGGAGAAAGGGGAACCCTTCTCCACTGCTGGTGGGAATGTAAACTGGTACAACCACTCTGGAAATCAATCTGGCGCTTTCTCAGACAACTAGGAATAGTGCTTCCTCAAGATCCAGCCATACCACTCCTAGGCATATACCCAAAAGAGGCGCAAGTACACAAAAAGGACATTTGCTCAACCATGTTTGTAGCAGCTTTATTTGTAATAGCCAGAAGCTGGAAACAACCCAGATGCCCCTCAACTGAAGAATGGATGCAGAAACTGTGGTACATCTATACAATGGAGTATTACTCAGCAATGAAAAATAAGGAAATCATGAAATTTGCAGGTAAATGGTGGGACCTGGAAAGGATCATCCTGAGTGAGTTGTCCCAGAAGCAAAAAGACACGCACGGTATATACTCACTCATATAAACATACAATATAGAATAAACCCACTAAAATCTGTACATCTAAACAAACTAAGCAAAAGAGAGGACCCTAACTAAAATGTTCAATCCCCATCCTGAAAGGCAAAGAGGATGGACATCAGAAGAAAACGAAAATAGGAAACAACCTTGGAACCCGCTACAGAGGGCCTCTGAAAGCCAGAAGAAAACAGGAAACAACCTTGAAACCTGCCACAGAGGGCCTCTGAAAGCTTCTGCAGTATAGACTGTCAAAGCAGATGCTGAGCCTGATGGCCAACTGATGGGCAGAGTGAATGGAATTTTATGTAAGAAGTGGGAAACAGTAAGAGCTGGAGGGGACGGGAACTCCACAAGCAGAGCAACAGAACAAGATAATTTGAACACAGGGAACTTCCCAGAGACTCATACTCCAACCAAGGACTATTCGTGGAGATGACCTGGAACCCCTGCACAGGTGTAGCCCATGGCAGTTCAGTGTCCAAGTGGGTTACATAGTAATGGGAAGAGGGACTGCCTCTGACATAATCTGATTGGCCTGCTCATTGATCACTTCCCCCTGAGGGGGGAGCAGCCTTACCAGGCCACAGTAGAGGACAATGCAGCCACTTTTGATGAGAACTGATAGACTAAGATCAGAAAGAAGAGGAGAACCTCCCCTATCAGTGGACTTGGGGAGGGACATGCATGCAGAAAGGGGAGGGAGAGTAGGATCGGCAGGGGAGGAGGGAGGGGCTTATGGGGGGATACAAAATGAATAAAGTGTAATTAATTAAAAAAAGAATATATATATGAAAAAAAAAATATATATATATATGAAATTGGTTGCTGCCTAATCTTTACTGTGAAAAATGCTGAATAAATTTGTTCAAATGGAAAAAAACAAAGTGGTTTGTGACTGTGGCTCAATTGGTGGCATGTTTGCCCATCATTCCCTTTTTAAAAGTTATTTTATGTGGGGGCTGGAGAGATGGCCCAAAGGTTAAGCGTTCAATTCCCAGCAACCACATGGTGGCTCACAACCATCTATAATGAGATCTGGTGTTCTCTTCTGGTCTGCAAGTGTACATGCAGACAGAAAATTGTATACATAATAAATAGATAGATAGATAGATAGATAGATAGATAGATAGATAGATAGATAGATA